CCCCTGCAGCAGCTCCCCAGGCTGGAGCAGGGGCTGTGGGGGCACAGGCCTGTGTCCCACTGGAGAGGTGTCCCCAGTGCCTGGGGAGGGGGTGTCCTCCCCACCCCTGTCTTGAGGGGCTCAGCCACCTCCTGGCAGCTGCCCCATGCTGAGGGGGCCCGTGGGGGGCTGTGCCAGAGCAGGGGGCCCTCTGTGCCCACCAAGGGGACTGGGCAGGGCAGGGAGGGAATGGCTGTGCCTCTCCCCTTTCCCAGCAGCAGGAAAGCAAACAGGAGCAGGCAGGAGGGAGCAATAAAGCACAGGTGAGTGCTGTGCTGAGGAAGTTGGGGCCTGCAGAGCTGGGGGGGGGAAGGAGTTGTGAAGTGGAATGACCAAGCCCAATGGCAATAAATTCACAACCTGTTTAATGCCAGTTCCGTTGCTTTACATGGAAAGGTTACAGAACACTCCACGGTTGGTTGTCACCACATGACACTTGGGATACAGCAATGCCACGAGGCCACAGACTGTCACACAGCTCAGCTCTGGAAGGGTCCTGTGCCCAGGTCAGTGCTCACACTGTCACCTCAGCTCTGCCCCTGTCCCTGCTGAATCCTCAGAGAGTGTCACTGTCACCTGGAGACATTAACACACACCTGGGAGATCCATCCTGCCCTGGGAGCACAGAGTGGGTCGGGGAAAGGGCTGTGCCAGGCCCTGACAGCCAGGGCAGGCTGAGCAGCTTGTTCTCGCTGTGCTCTGTGACCAGAACAGCTCTGGCCTGGGAATCACCAGCCCTCCCTGCTAAGTGCCATGAGAGAAGCCACCGGGAGCCAAACTGCTCCCAAGGCAGCAGGAAGTGAGATGTAGAAGCAAGAAGTGGTTTGGGGAAAGTCCCAGGCGAGAGAGGACAGTGGGGGCAGTGATGAGGGGGCTATCCCCTCCCTGCATCATCCTGAGGAGCAGCTGGAAGTGCTGGGCAGTGGCTGCAGTGCCCTCCTGGCACTGCTCCCCCCACAGTGGCTCCTGGGGGTCCCTGGGGCAAGCTCCCACGTCTTAGTGGGAGAGGCAAACCCATCCCAGCAGCACCACACTCCCCGTGCCCTGGCTGCTCCCTCCTGCTCCAGCTTGGGCACAGACCAGGCTCAGCCCTCCTGTGTGCCCATACCCACCTACTCCTTCCCAGAGGAGGCAGCAGCACGTCCTGGGGAGCTGCATGGTGGGATTTAGTGGGAGGCAATCCACAAGAGACAGGAAAATCCCCAGCACAGCCACCTCTGTGCACAGCCCTGTGCCCAGGTGATGACACCTGTGACAGACAACCCCTTGCTGCAGGTGGTCCTTCCCTCAAACCCACTCCCCAGCTCAGTGTCTGATTCAAATCAAGCCCTCCTGGATGCTCCGGGGTGCCTTGGGGTGCTCCCAACCCCCAGTGACGTGCACCACTACCTGTGAACAGAACAAGTAACAAGAGGGAGGCCACGGGGTGACCTCAAACCACATCCCACAACCAGAGCTACACTAAAGCAGTTGTGTTCAAACTGTGCTCTAAAAATTCCACGGCAGTTTCAGTTTGGTGGCAAGTGAGATTGTGAGATGCCCAAGTGACTCGTGGGCCTGGGAGAGGCAGAGCTGGGAGCAGGGAGCTCCTGCCCAGTGCCTCCCAGTCCCTGTGACACAGGGGAGCACCCAGAGCCTCATGCAGGCACTGGTGTGATGGCACGTGTGGTCAAGGCTGTGGTGAAGAGGCTCTGCCAACACATCCCTAAGGATCCTGGCGGTGTTGGGGTGGATACTTAAATTCCTATGCCTGGTTTTAGGGAAAGGAGGGAGGAAGCCCAACAGAGAAAGAGAGAGAAAAGCATTACCTCTGCAATCTACAGGTCTATGTACAAAGGCAGGGAATTCCACCCAGGGGCAGGAAGCAGTGCTGGGAGAGGGCAGGAGGCAGGGCCTGGGCAGGGCAGGCACAGGGAGAGGAGCAGCTGTGCAGCCTCACAGCTGCTCTTCCATTCAAAGCACCACACACACACAGGAGCACTGGGGTCACACCCCCAGGCTCCACCACCACAAACCACACCACAAACCCACCGGCAGGGCCCCGGCTGGGGCCTGGAGGGCAAAACCAGCAACACTTCAGCCCTGCCTTAGCACAATCTGCTTCCCAGGCAGAGGAGGTTCTGCTCACCCCAAAAATCAGCTCCTCAGTTGTTCTGGTTCTCAACCACATCCCAAGCACTTCTGGCCTTGGGGAGACTCCAGAGCAATGCCCTGGGGATGCTCCACATGCACAGGGGGGTTGGGTGGATTTGTTTTTTTCTCCAGTCCTTGTTTCTCCTCTCTGGTAACTCACAGGATCAGCCCAGAACATGCAACAGAACTTCCCAAATCTGCTCCCTTGGAGGTGAAGCTTTTTTAAGTCTCCTCCAAAGTTTAGAGCCCCAAAATACATTTGTTTGGAGGCAGCTGTCAAGCAGGCCAAGAAATCAAGCTGTGTGATGGGAATGATCACGTCAAGTACTACAGTACCTATCTGGGGGGGAAACGAAGGAACAAAATAAAAGAAAAGAGGCAGTTGTCCAGTCTCTCCCTGGAATGGGGACGTCAGGCTGTGAAGAAAGCCCTTGGGCAGGCAGGCAGTCCATGCCCAGCCTGGAGGGGTGGTGCTGGCTCCTGCCTCCAGAGGTGTCACGGGAGGGCTCAGGGCCCCACAGCAGCAAGGATACACTCCTCTCTCCCAGGGGGACAGTGGGGATGGCCTCAGTGGTCCATGTCACACCAGTCCTCCCTGGTACAAACCAGAGGGCTGGAGCATTGCTGGGTCAACACTTCTCCTGTGCCCGTATCCCTTTATGAATGATGAATCCAGAAACCTTTGGCAGTTCCCTCCCTTTCCCACCCCATCCCAAATCCTGCCCAGCATGGCTCACAAGCACATATTTAATGAGCTTCTCCAGTCCCACAGCACTCCCTCCCCTCGGCAGGAGCAGCTCCATGCGGGCCGAGGGAGTGGTCTGATCCTGGAATGTCAGGCTGGATGTTCCCGGGGCACGGCAGGGGGGGGGTTATCGTATCCTGGTGAAGAGGTTGAGCACAGATACAGACTCCTGAGGAGACAAAGCAAGGGATGAGGGCTCCACAGCTGATACTCCACGTGCTTTTGGCTTGGTTTGTTTTTAATCTGGTCAGGTTATCTGGAGCTCAGGGCATATTCCGAGCTCACCAACCAAAGTCCAACACCATAAATATTCCCAGGGTTTTTTTCCAGCTGATAACAAGGAGCACAGGGCAGTGTGCTGTTCCCACAGCCGCGCAGGCAGCTGTGTCCCAGAGCAGGCAGGGACTGAGGGACCTCCAGCAGCAGTGCCAGATCCCCCCAGTCCCTTCCTTCAGATCCCTCGGCCCACACAGGCTCTGGGAGCTCAGGGCACAACCTGCCTGTGGTGAGGGAGAGCTCTCACTGCCCATCCCAGATCCCCCTACCAGCCAAGCACTTCTGTAAGGAGCCAGAGGACAGAGAATCATGGAATGGTTTGGGTCGGAAGGACCTTAAAGCTCATCTATCCCACCCCTGCCATGGGCCAGGACACCTCCCACCGGCTCAGGGTGCTCCAAGCCCCATCCAGCCTGGTCTGGAACACTCTCAGGGATGGAGCAGCCACAGCTGCTCTGAGAAATCTATTCAAGCCCCTAAGCACCATCACAGGGAAGGATTCCTTCCCAATACCCCATCTACCCTGCCCCCGTGGGAAGCCATTCCCTGTGTCCTGTCCCTCCATCCCTTGTCCCAAGTCCCTGTGCAGCTCTCTGGGAGCCCCTTGAGGCCCTGGAAGGGGCACTAAGGTCTCCCCCAGGCTGCACATCCCCAGCTCTGAGCCTGCTGTCACCCCTCAGCACTCAGCAGCACTGCAGCAGGGCAATGGTGAGCTCCCTCTGACCAGTCTGGAGAGGGACATTGTGCCACACTGCCCGGGGCACACAGTGACCTTTCACTTCATCCGATCACAAAGCTAAACCTCCACAAAGCTTAACCCTTCAGTGCCCTCAGCCCTTGATCTGCAGGACACGGGGAAGGGAGCAGAGGGAAGGGAGCAGAGCCAAGGTGGCTCAAGCTCCCCCCGTGCCATGGCCTTACCTTGGTTGAGCGAGTTTTGCTGAAGACGTTCCAGAAACGTAAGGTTTCATCTCCAGCTCCTGTGACAATGGCCTCACCATCAGGGGACATCGCCTAGGGCCAAGAGAACAACCTTTAGCACCTCTCACATCTTTGAGGTTGAAAACAAACCTTCATGAGAAGTCAGAAGAGAGATTTCAATTCCTACTTGACTAGCAGTGAGAAACCAAACAGCTTTCAGGTGCTCACTGAGTGCAACTTGGGCACTTGCTCCTGCTGCAGCTGTGAAACACTCAGGGAACTGCCATGGAAAGGATGCTTGGGTTAGGAAATCCAAGCCATGTGTAACTGAGGCTATTCCTCCTGGGATTATCAACATGCCTTAAGGCTGGAAGTGTGATAGGGCAGGATTTGCTGGCTGGATGAGGCACTTCCATTGGAATCTCCCTCTGTTGTGAACTGTGGAAAGCCACACGTGCCCAACAGAGCAGGTGGGAGATGGATGGGGATTACCTGCACCAGGAGGGCTGAAAGCAGCAAATTCTTCTTCCGCTGACAGTCACCAGTGACAAGGTGGGAAAATCTTCAGGGGACAAGGAGAGATCATTGTATGCCATAGAATCACAGAATGCCAGGATGGTTTGGGTTGGAAGGACCTTAAAGGTCATTTCATCCATTCCCTGTGTCCTGTCACTCCAGGCCCTTGTCTCAAGTCCCTCTGCAGCTCTCTTGGAGCTCCTTTAGGCACTGGAAGGGGCTCTAAGTTCTCTCTGGAGCCTTCTCTTCCCCAGGCTCAGCAAAGCTGTCTCAGAAGAACACTCAGACCTTTCCTCAGGAGATCTTGGCAGCCTTTGCTAGTATTACCTAACCCTCACATTTCCACAGCAGCAAATCAAATGTCCCTTGCAGGCACAAAAAGCAGACACAGCACTCTCCACTGCTCAGTCACACCTGCACCCAGCCCACAGGCAGCTCAGGGTGCCCCTGGCACTGCCCTGCAGGTCCCACGTGCCCACGGCTGCCACCGGGAAGCAGCTGCAGAGCTGTGGACATCACTTACCAGGTACAGGACTCGGTAGGAATGTCCTGTGAGCTTTGCTACTTGAGTTAAGGAGGGGTATTTCCACACCAGGATCTGGTTCTGGGAGTATCCATGAGTGCTCACCTAAGAGTGGAGAGGAAAACGTGTATCATGGAATTGTTGCATGAGTGCTCACCTAAGAGTGGAGAGGGAAACGTGTATCATGGAATTGCTGAGGATGGAAAAGATCATCAAGATCTTCAAGATGATCATCAAGATCATCTAATCATCATTAAGATCATCAAGTCCAACTGTCAACCCATCACCACCACCATGTCCAGCCCTAACCACGTCCCCAGGTGCACATCCACAAGTTTTTGGACACTTCCAGGGATGGTGACTCCACCACTGCCCTAGGCAGCTGTGCCAATGCTTTACAACCCTTTCCATGAAGACATTTTCCATAATATCCAACCTGAACCTCCTCTGGTGCAACTTGAGGCTGTTTTCTCTCATCCTGTCCCTTGCTCCCTGGGAGCAGAGCCTGACCCCACCTGGCTGCACCTCCTGCCAGGGAG